ATAAGTGAAAGGGCAATTTACTAACACTCAGAGAGCTTGGTAGGAACCAATATTAGGAAGGGGAGGAAATCCATTATTCTTGACTTGGCTATGTTATGTTTGAGATACCTGTTAGGCATCCAAAATAAGAAGCTGAATAAGAAGTAAATGTTGAATATCAGCATTATTTACTTGGTAATTGAAACTATGGCATATCCAGGGCAAGTGGAGTTGTTGTAATTAGAGAAGGGACATTTCATTTCCTCTTCCACTAAGATGTTTATATTTTTTGGTTCCCTTTCCTGGGACAGATCATATTTGTATGCCTATTCCAAAGGTTTATTACATATTTTCCTTCCCAGAAATGTGATAATCAGCACTAATTCACACTGAACTCATTAGGTACAAACCTTGTATTTCTTGCTACCTTCTAGAGAAAAGCCTTTCCTTTATGTGGGATCAAATCTCTTCTACATTCTCACAGCACTCTATGCTTTCATTTGCAGCACTTGCCACAATTTCAGTAGTCAATTACAAGATTTTTTAAAAATTTTTTTCTTCTTTATAAATAGAAAAAAGTTACATAGCTTTACATAGCTTGCTCCTTTCTGGCTTCATTTTCCTTTCTACGCTAGTATATTATTTAGTAATTCTTTCAGCAAAAATCTGTATGTAATTAATTTTCTTTGTTTTTGTTTATCTGAAAATAATTGTATGTCTGAAAATATTTTGTCTTAATTCTCAAATGACAGCTTATGGGATATTTGAAAATTTGCCTGGCACATTGAAGGGATTACTCCACTCCCTTCTAAAGTCTATTGCTTATGAAAAGTCTGCCATCAATTTCATCATCCTGTAAGTATTCTGTCTTTGCTAGTACTCAGTAGCTTTTATGATACCTTCCTGATCACTGAGTTTCATTCAGATCTAGCTAGGTGTAAACTAGTTTTTATTTATTCCAGATTGATTGAGTTTTATTCAATTTGAGGACTCATATAAATTGAAATTTATTCAATTTTGTTAAATGTTAGTCACTTATGTAAAATATTGTCTCTTCCTCAGGCACTCTACTTTCAATCAATTTGATATATGTTTGAACTATTTATTCTATTCTCTATATTTTCTCATTTTTTTTTTTAGCAAATCAAAATTTTCCTCAGCATCTTTCAATTATTTTTTCTATAATGAACCCACTATTTAAAAAGTTGTTTGAGTTATTAAGTTCTAGACTTTTATTTTTCAAATCATCCTATTCACTATTTAAAATGGCCTGTTTTTATTATAAGAATTCCATTCGATCCTTTAAAATTTTTTTTTGAACATTAAAAAAACAATGTTCTTTTCTAACTGTCTTCTTATCTTGAAATTCTTCAAGGGTACATTCTCCTTTTATTTTTGTCCTATGTTAATATCACTCATGAAAAGAATCTTTTTCATATCTATTGTAATTTGAGTCTGAGTTTATTTTGCTTAGGAGTTCCAGACAAACCCTGGGTTGTGGTGGGACCTTAATTGTGCAATTTTGTGGCTACATTTACTTGAGCTCTCAGGGGTTAACTGTCAAATGCTAGAATTAAGCTTAATAAAAATTGTGTATAATTTTCTATTAAGGAATTTTCAAAACCTTTAAATTTCTTATCTATTTCTTTACTTTCCTGTAGAAGATAAGAATTTAAATAGAGCTCTATTGACAAGTTTATGGAAAATTATCCCTTCAGTGGTAGAATCACCAGCTTTACAAGAAATTCCCTGCAAATATTTTTGACTCTAGACAAAATTATCTGTCCAAGGATTATGAAATCTAACTTGTAATTTACACTGAAGAAAATATATCTATGTGTTGTTAATAACATGCTAAGCCTATGGTACATACTGAGCCTAATTCTCTTATTGGCTTATAAAGATATATATATTTTTTAAATAATGTGTCTCTTTTCCAATATTAACTTATACATAGAACAAGGAAGAAAAAAATTGATTCACTGAGCCTCTATAATGCAGCAGGTGTTTTACAAATATTACTATATTTCATTACCAAAAAACAACCTTATCCTCATTGCAGTCATGAGGGAAATCAAGCTGAAAACGATTTCCCCATGATCATACAGCCAGCAGATGGTCACTGGGGTTCATACTCAGCGCTGTTCATCCCAGGACGTGGTCTCTTTACTAGACCATACTGCTGCTAGAAAACCTTCTGAAGAAAAATCCCTTGTGTTCAGTTTACTTGGTCTTCAGTGAGCAGCCAGGTCTCTAAAGCCAACTGGAACTGTATTAGAAATGTCTTGTATTTCTAATTAGGACAGAGGAGTCAACATTCTGAATAACGGGAAAAAATTTTACCTGTTTTCTCCCAGTCTGTTTTCCTTTCTTTATGGTCTCTGGGTTTGTTCTGAGAACCATCATTTTCAGATACTCTCTACTCTGCTTGGCTCTGCTCTCCTTTCTGGCCCAGGGTGTCTCATGGCTCCCTCAGATTAAGTGCCAGACTTTTTCTGAGATTTACTATTGCCATATATAGCTCTGACATGAACGTAAGCCCCAAAGTATACTAATTTTTACTACTTAGCCCATTTCTGAGTCTTTACCTCTGAAATAAGAAAAATTAAGTCCACTTTTTAAACTCAGCCCTCAGATGTTAAACACTTTACAGTACTGCCTACAATCTTGAATTGCCACTGCTAAGATGTGAAAGACTAACTGAAAATCAAGAAGTCCAAATAAAGTCTAAAGTTTATATCTAAAGAGAACAGAAAGGGATATTTGAGAGAAAGAAAGATGAGAGAAATAGAGAAGGGAAATGCAGAGGAAGGTAAACAATTTTGAAGCTACGACTACCTGTGCTACATCATGGCCATTGTAGGATTATTTCAAATGTAACTTTTGGTTAACGTGTTTGCTTGTAGGTATTTCAAATGGCCTCACTGCAAAATAATTAGGAAAGACGACTCTGACCAGTGGACATGTGAAATCTGTTTTTTAAATATATGTTAGTAATTGGCGGGATATAATCTTGGATCTATCTATCATAGCTATCAATTAATCATCTATCATTTTTAGGGCTAATTAAAATCCAAAGTCAAATATAATTGTAACATTAAATTAATTATTCTTCATGCATATGGTTATTGCTTCTGTTATCACGGAAAATCAAGAGTTAAGATAAAAATATTTTCCCCACCCAGGCACCTTCAGAATTTTGAATCTTTCAGATATAGAAAAAAGAAGAAATGGTTTGTGGGAAAAATATTAAAAGTAAAAAATTAGTGTTTTTACTATAAATTATTTAAAAATTTTTATACTAGTTTACATATCTTCATTTCACCAATCATTATTTTATTATGTTTTACAAATATTGTTGAGATCCCATTATGTGTAGTTACATAATGGTATTTTAAGTGAGTGTTTTATGAAGATTTTTGATCCGGTGTCTATTTAACTCTAAAGTGTTAATAACCTACCTTGACCAGGCTGTAAAGAATTATAATCCTGCATATAGAATGTGTTGAGATTTAGGGGAAATTAGAATGGAAAAATCAGTTACTAGTTAGATAATTCAAAGAAAAGGACTTCTCCCTGAATGACCTATGAAATCAAAGCAAAAATATTTTACTTGAATTTTCTTTATGGTTGCCTTAAACTTTCAATTCATTTTGTATCTACAGACACAGGCTTTCTGTTAGTGTAAGGTTGAGTGATTTATGATATATTATGTTCATAACATCTAAAATGTAGAATAGGCTGAAACATGCAATCAGCTAGAATCAAACTTCAAATGTAATATAGTTTAAATATATCTTATATTCTAATTTCTCAGAATATTCAGTTTTGGATATTGGATGTTGGATTTCATAGAAAACAGTGTATTCATGGAATTTTCTAACATGTAAAAAGAAGTCACAATAATATATTTTCCCTTAGTTAATAAGAGTATTAACAAAATTATATGCTTATAAAATAGTTATGTTAACTGTCCTAGAAATATTTTTAAATATATTTCGTGTTAAATGGGATCAACGATATCACACAAGAAATTCCCCAAAATGTCTCATCTAAGGATTGAAACAAATGAAACTGTCATTTACATAGGTCAAAAATGGTTGGCTACCTGTTGGTTTCATGTGATTCAACCTAACATAATTATAAAGCCTTACCTTCCAGACTCTGACATGCTGATTCTGTGAGGAGCACTATCTTTGCATAATTACAGAGTGGTGACCATTCCTCTTCACTTTACAATTTCTCAGAATAGAAACAAAATATGTATCCCTTAGAAAATTCCTATAATTTATACCCTATTACAGATAAAGGGCTAAGAAGAACACGCTTATGATCATTAATCACTTTTTTAAAGAGATAATCACAAAATTTTCAGCCAGTTGTTAAAGAAGAGTAGCCGTTCCTTTTTCTTCAGGTGTGCGATATTTCGGTAGTCACAGTAATTGGTATTTTTTTCAATCTATCAATTATCAACCATCTTACTAGGCATCCAGTTCTTCTAATAAAGCTTTTACACCCATTTAGTAGCTAAGCCAGGTATGACGGCTAAATTATTGTTCTTTAAATCAATGATATAAGGGCTTATGCTAGTTGATATAAGATGATTCACAAAAGATTTGTTATTTACCAATATACATTAAAAAAGTAAAAGTAGCATGAGATGATCTCAGGAAAGTGATACATATTTTTGGTTTAGACATTGAAATAAAGTAAATGTATGATAAATTGACAAATTCACATTGCCAATGTTATGAAGAAATGATGTGGCAAAAAATTAAGATGTGCTTTTCATTTTTGGCAAAGGGGCTGCTTTCTATGACCTGTTAATTTATTATAGTTTTAATCTGAAAAATGAACCGCTAGTGTTACAGAAGCCCAAAGTGAAGGGAAACTACTCACTTTCAGAATGCATATTAGAAGTTTGAAATTGCACCCAGATTTTGTTTTCTTTTTGTTAGTAGGCCTCTGTTATTAGAGTAGTAGTTGCAAACACATACGTGGGTTTGCCAGTAACAACTCACAATTTGTGCAAAGTTGAGTCTTCGAAACTGAGCAAATTTGCTCTCAATTTCCCGCCAGCGATTGCTGAGCTGGATCTGAGTTGGCTCCACTGCCATTGCGGCCCCATCCTCAGACAAGCCCTCAGCTTGCCTACGCACTGCATTCAGCTCCTCTTTCTTCTTCTGCAATTCACGATCAATTTCCTATTGAGCAAAACCAATACAGGGCCCAGGGCAGTTAGCTAACCACATCAACCAACCAGCAAGCAGCACATACTTCTCTCAGAAATTTCATAGGCTGTTGTCATTTTATTTTAATTTTTTCAAAATTTACAATATGGGAGCCATCACTGTCATCTTCACCCAAGAATCCAAATATTATTTCAGTTATCCTCTGAATGCTCAGTTTTAGATATTCTAATTAAGAAAATATTTAAATTGATCTAACATTTTTCTTTTTTCTCAATTCCTCTGGTGTTTTGGGGGTTGACCCAAATTGGAGTGATTACTTATTATTTATTAGGGACCATCCATATAGAATATAATTTAGAGGGTAAATAAGTTATTTATTTATTTTTTAAAAAGCCTCAAGGAACTCAACAGACAATGAAGCAAAATAAAAAGTATAAAATAAAAACAAAAAAAATCTTCAGACAATATGCAAATAAATCTATAGAGATTTGACACTGATGTGTGAAGATGCTCTGATGAAATGAATGTGCTAACATGAGAGAGAAGCCGTCCATATACCGATAAGTCATTTGTTCATCTGGAACAAAGATACACAGAGTCAATTACAGTTTTGCCAGAAAACAGATGACATTTCTTAATTCATTTTACATTGTCTAAAAATAAAACAGTTTATTCATTCAACATTATGTCAATTGAAAGACACAATACATTTACTAAAACAAAACACAAGAAAATACATCATAGAGAACGCTTATAGAGGAAATAACCACATCAATATTTTAAATATGATCCACATAGGTTAAGTTAAATAAATTAAATGGTAGCACAAAAATCTAGTATTGACATTCTAAAACAACATTACCTTTAATTTTCTTTCATCTCTGGGTTCAGGTAGGCTGGCTAATTTTTTTTCAATGTCATCCAAGCATTTCAGGAGATCATCAGCCTGCCTCTTGTATTGATACCACTGATGAGAAATTTCTAGAGCCTTTTTTCTTCTTTGAGACCTCAAATCCTGTTCATGGTGCAGATATTATTAAAATATCAATATATATGTATAGCACACTTTTGGTTGTAGTTATTTAAAAATAATTTGAGTCCTTCATCTTGTAAAACTTTGGTTAAGTTTATATTTAAGTGCTAAACATACAAATAGATGATCAAATTATGTATTTATGTGGCAGGACCCATGTACGTAAAGCTAAGAAAACTGAAAAACCCACTTAAAGTATTTATTTTCTCTTGGCATGTTCAAACTTGCTCGGAAATCCTGTTATATTTAATTGACTTAATGAATCAACTAATTATCATGTAGCCTATTTGAAATAGCTTAATATATGAATATAGTTGAGCTCACTAGATACTTGTACGAACTTAATGAGTCTGTATTTGACTTTTAAAGGAGGTAAAAAAATTCTAAAATTTATATCTTAAGCCCTGAGTTCATAAAAAAAAAATATTAGGTTTATATAGCCAAATAACTACATTCATGGTTTTAGAAATCCATGTAAAAAAGTTTCATGGAACATTAATAACTTATGATTAGAAATATAAAGTCATCTTATTTATATAAATTGTTTTAAGCTATATATGTAGAAGTGTGAAAATTGTATTTCTGTGCGTGTACACGAAAATGACAATTTAAATGTTCTAAAAATGGTTTTTCTCTCAAGACTTGCATGGCCAGCTTTTTCTTACTATATCAAATCATGTTCCAAATGCAAAATAATGCACTATTTTTGAAAGAGAAGTATATGGTTTCCAATCAACCTGATGAGATAAATAAGGGTGACTGATTTAATAAATCAGCAAATGGAGGGGGGCGGATTAATCACCTTGCTCCTTACAAGCATATCCAATGTCTTCTCTGATCAACAGAATTTGTTGAAATGCCATTTTATGCTAACACAAGGAAACATAAGAGCTCAGAATACAGTTTTCATTTTCTCAGAACAGTACCAATTAGAGTTTCATGTACAGATTTAACTGGAACAAAAGAAAAATAATGAATATCAAAGACTTCTTGAAATATTCCTTGCATTAGAAACTTTTGGCCTTCTTTGGACTAGAGATGGAGCCACTGGGCAGGTTAACATAGTTACTGAATTTGGTGGTGTAGATTGGTTTGGCAAGTGGAGTAGATTTTCATTAATCTCTTTTAGCATATATTTGCAATAATGATTTCATTCTTCATTTTGTGGAGAATTGGGAATGTAAAATTTACTGCGATCACATTTTTAATTGAATTTATAAACCTCCTGTGGAAGTAATAAATGCCTGGGATGAACCAGATAGTATGCTGCTTTTTTCAAAGGTACTAAGATAGAGCCATGAGTGAGAGTTGAGCAGTGCCTTATGCATCACACAACTCACATCTTTGCCAAGAGAAAGGGCTTGTGGTCATCAAATCTGAAACTCTTCATTTCTTAAGTACAAGGTTATGTGTACTGGGTAAAGATATTTAAAGCCACTATATAAATTTCTTTACAGGTATGCCAGATAACCATTAAACACTGCTTGCTGTTCAGTAGGACACATATCATCACATGACTAGTATAGATGCTTCCGAAAGCTTGGTCACAGCTGGAAGCGTGTGAATTACACAGCTTTCTGATTTTCTGAGCACATTATGGCTTGCTCTTGCATTCCCTCGAGGAACAGACCTTTTATATTAACTGTATTTATCAGCAGTTACCTTCGGAACCCCTGCTGGCCAATTAGACTTTCCATGTGGATTCTTTGCAGGCACAATATTGTGTAATTACATTCTCAGCAGTGTTTATTTGGTTGTCTGGCTATATGGGAAAAGGCTTTATACTCTTATTTGCATATAGAAAACAGACTCCATTCACCTACTAGGTGGATCCACCTACATAGCTACACAGCTCTAAGAGACTGATTTACAATGAAAAGCTCAGCCATTAACAATATCAGAAAATCAGCCATGCATGCAAATAGTGAATATTGCAAAGCACATAAAAATAGGTTACTCCACAAAACTCTTCACATGTCCATTCTTAGTTCAAGAACTTCTTAGATATTACTATAGAAAAATCAATACTCTATCTGGCCTTCCTTCACAAATCCAGATGAATCACATCGGTACTTGAAGCAATACACTATTACTGGTTAATGAGAGTACCAGTTCCTCTTCAAGGATATTAAAATTATTTTTGAGGATTTCTTTCTAAATGAAAGTAGACTGTTGTAGATGCTCAGTTAGTTGCAAAGAGCGACTCTTTTAAAGGCAAAATGAAATTAATTGAAAAAAATCAAGTCAAATCCCAGGCCTTATTAAACAAATATTAGATTACCAAAAAATTGGATCTCCTCTAAATAAAATCAACAAAATACAGAAAGAAGAAAGTCTAAAAAATATACATTGGCAATTTTAGCAGTTAAGCAAGTTTTCAAGAAAAAATGTAAAAATAACTTATAAGAAACTATATTAGAAATTAAATGTATAAATATTAAAAACAATGAATTATAATCTTTTGATTACTATTCAGAAAAAATTGTCTAAGAAATTCAAAAATTTTAAGCAACACATCTTTCAAAAACAAAGACACCACTCAAAAACGTTAAATAAAGCCCACATATTGAACAGAAAAAAATGTATTTCTGGTGACTAAGATTCTTAAGCAGATTTTATTTATGCACAATATATTTTACCCTACATAGGAAAAGAAACCACAGGCAAGGTATATTATAATTTTAGCTCTAATACCTTGAGAGCATTATGTTTTGTCTGTAACAGCTGCTGTTTTATCTTTATTTCCTCTCGCTTTCTCTCATCTGTGATTCTTTGTTGTAAGTTGTCTCCTCTTTGCAACAATTCTTTTACAGTACCCTCATTGTCTTCACTCTGATTAAAAACAACAAGTACAGTCTTCATTTTGGTTTTTAAAAAGCTGTACATCGTTAACAGAGATAATAAAACATGTTATTTAAACGCACACAAAAAATCCAACTTAAAACTTTCTGGGGATGTTATTACAAGGTACTGTGCTCATTAATTTTTCTTTTATATGTTGTATGTTAACTTTTAAAAGAAGTGAGTTTCCCCCTGTCTAGTTGAAAAGGACACACTTGATAAGGAGCATATATAGGAAGATGGAGGAGTAAGGTACTTCATCATTTCACGCAAGACCTGATGGTGGTGAAAGCATTCTTTTGGCTTTGATTTTCAGTATATTTTAGAAATTAAAAAAATTTGAAGAAGTATATTAAACTTATCATTTATAATGTTAACTTATCCATATAGGAATATGGATGTGGATGTGTGAGTATGAGATGGTGACACACATTCCTAAGTGAAAATATTTTGTTTCACATGTTCACTAATTTCTATCTAAGAATCTCTGCTTTAAATAACCTAAATGCCCAAATTTAGGACAAATATTAGGGCATTAGTAAAAAAAAAAAGAAGTGTTAAATTGCTGTCAAGTATCACAAATAATTTTTAAAAACCCGTCATATGTGCAAGTTATTTTTAAATACAATCAAACAATCATTAAAACATGGATTAGGAAAATGGCCTTAAATGTTTTAAATATATGTTTTTATTTTTTTAGACTCTAAAATATATTTTTTATGTACTTTGAATTAAAATTATTTAAATAAGAGCTGGTCTAATATACCAGCATATGTGACCATGTGATTTTTCATGTCTAGTTTCTTATCTTTGTTTCAACTCAATATATAAAAACTTTCTACCAAGGAGATTTCACCTTGCAATGTTACCCAAGGTACTCTGATGAGCTAAGAATAATAAATATAAGAGAAATTCTAAAAATTTATATGTATAACTATTCATGATACTAGATATTACATATTTAAATCTATAATGCCTATTTAAACTTCCACACAAAACTGAGGGACTGTTCTTTTCTTTTAGAATAAATGGGCTTTTAATCCGAGATTTGTCAGTTACTAGGCTAATGAAATAATATAGTATAGATATATTTATAGTATGTGAAAAACTTAATTTAATATATGTCTTTTAAAAGTTTGCAACATTTCCTAGGGCTGAGAACAAAAAACTAAATAAACAAAAATATGCCATTTCACTTCTTTCCCTGCACCAGGTGTGAGCTATTGGGCAGAAGCGGCAATCAGCCCAAGAGGTAAGAAGCACTTTTTCACCTCGGTGCCCTCTGGTTTCTTCTTTTACATGAGTAGAGGGCATTGTAACTCAGCATCTTGGAAAACCTCTTATTGTTTTTCTTTCCAGGAGCTGAGTTGGCAAGGCCACAAAACCCCATACATGGGAAGTATTGATTCAGGCAGCTCCAAGAAGTCAGAATTGATATCAGTGGGAACTAAGATTGATGGAAATAGTCCTCCTATAGCTTCACATGCCTATTATTTTAAACTTATGTATTGCTTTTTGATGTCATTTTCAAGTGTTGACTGAGAAATCTCTAGCATAATGTATGTAAAGCTTAAGAATGCCATTTACTGATGGCTGTGGAGAAGGGAAAGGAAATTGTGAAAAGGAGGTGAACAGAGAAAAAAGGGCAGTGAAAAAGGATGTGAAGCTAGAGAAAAATATAAAAGACATTTAGGAATTAATCAAGGTTGAATGAGAACATTATGAGCTTGGGAATAGTCCACATGGTTACATTTATTTTCTCCCCATGAAATAAGCAGCATAAATTTGTACGTATTTTAGACGTACACTATACTATTTATTCAACTTTTCGATAAAACCACTTGTGGTAAACTTTAATAAACATTGTTTATATTGTGTGTAATTGCCCCTTCTCTGAAACAAATGCCATATTACCAAAAACATGACTGGAAAAAAAATAAGCCATCTATGATAGTTGAGTTTCTTATTAAATTTCTAGTGTATATTCTGATTTGACTCCTTTTCCCCCACTACATTTAATCCTCTGAGTTTGAAAAGAGTACAGGTCAAAGCAAAATTGCTGAGCTATTTATTAGAATCTGTAAGTGCTCCTATGTATCCCAAACCACAGTACTTTGGCATTCATAAGAAAAACTAAACATGAATACTTTGCATTTGTGATAAATCATTAGAATCGCAAAATGTGCAAGATATGCCCTGAGAATTTGTTTGGAGACTTCAGGTATCTAATTTCTTTCCAAATATGTAGTCATTTTTACTCCTAGTTCATTCACACTTTTATCACAACCAATTTACCATATCTTTATTGAAGTCTTCCTCTTTCAGATTCACCCCCTGCTGAATTTCAGCCTCCAGTGGTTCAAGCAATTTTTGTATATCTGAGTTAAACTGCTCCAATTCCTTCAAAGGAATGGAGGCCTAAAAAAAAAGATAGTGCTAATTTAAATCAAAATTACTTTTTATTAGAAGCATAAACTAACAAATACATTTGTTCAACCTCCTGTTGCTAAAAAAATGACATGCATTATGTTTCCATATTATATTTTATGAAAGTTTTGAAATGCAACTGGGAAAGTACCTGAGGATGCAAATAAAGACAAACATTTAACATCAGAGCTGAACACACATGCAAAACAATGCAACTCATCATTCTGTTTTTTTTTTTCCCAAAAAAAGTCAATTTTCATATATTTGGGTTAATTGTTAATATTCTAAAATTGAACTTGATTTTATTTGAAATATTCTGATATAAATACCATGTGTGCAAATATGTCTTATCAGAAATTGCCTCATTCATCAAATGACAGTAACCTTAGGTGGAAATGCAGAATTGTTACCTTATCCTCAGGAAAACTACATGGCAATCTGCTCAGATATTTTAAATGACACTTTTAGCATGGAGAAACTGACAAGCATGCTCTCATAAGACAAACAATGCCATTAGCTTGCCTTAGAAATGCTTTCTTTGGTAGCACAAAACATTCAAATGAATGAACCAGAATATTTCACATAAAATATACATATTTTCCAACCTTATAAACATCACAGTTTCTTTAATTTTGAAATTCATAATGACCAGAGTCTCAGAAAAATTTAAAATACCTTGTTTTTCTAAAGAAACCACTTAGAGGAGTGATGAATAATGTATTAAAAATCAAATACATATTCAAAAGAGTAGGCAATGTTTAATTACTGAAGTTCGAACAGTTAATAAAATAAGTATTCTATTGATCTTTACTCTATGTTTATGCTCAATTGCTTTGCATTAAAACACTAGAGAATATTTTATACCTGATAGCTTTTGAAAACTCATATATGACATACAGAACTCTTATTTTCTTATAGAACTAAACATTTTCCATTTGTAAAACCAATTCAGGAGCAACCCCCAGTGTCATATGCCAGGATGACTGCATCCATCGAGTTGTTCCCACC